ATGGTGTCTCCATGCCTGGAATCTCCTAACCTGGAATCCCAAGCCCTCGGCCCCCACGCTGGTCACTGTTTCGGCCCCCGTGCCGGTCGCTGATCATTGGCTCACCCATGGCCTTTGCTCTGGACACTCTGACCTCGCAGCTTCAGTGATTTAGATGCATCCGAGACATCATCGCATCATTGACTGTGAGCTCAGGAAAGCGAAAAAGTCATATTCTATCTGTTCTTCAAACTATATTTAACAAACAGTTTGGGTGGAGGACCCAGTCTCTATGTAATACCTAGATAGTTGTGGCAACACACCCATCGACAATGTTAGTTCCACCCAATTACACAAACCTCTATCTCTCTGGCTGACATTCAAAAATCTATTTCTTTGAACTGCCTCCCACTTTGACATCCTGCGAGATGCAGATATTTCACATTGAAGTAGAGTAAAATGTGAACTGCTTTGTGGAATTTATGTAGCCCAGAGGTTAGGTCCACACCCCTCAAAAAATTAAGCACACACCTTATCACAAATCAGTTTTCAAACACAGATTTATTCTGTGAGAGCTGGGAGTTCAAAGGTTTGTGTAATAAGAAGCAGGCAGTAAAGCTGGTTCCAATTACAATTACAGCATTACTTTTTGTTGGCCAAAATTAACCATATTTCAAAGGTAGAAAAATGTATCAAATCGTTTCAGCATAACGTTCAGTGAGGTTCATTAATACAACTAAATTAAATAATGACATAGTTTTTTCCACATTATCATACACAAAGATGTCAGTCAAGTGTTCCCATATTTGTTTCCGTGCCAGCATTTTTAAATATTTGTAAAATAAATCCGATGCTACTGGGCTTACACTGTGATATATTATTGCAGTTGGAAAGGGTAAGGATGATATGAGAGGAGGATTATTTACATGGGTCACTTTTGAACTCAAAAATTGCAGGCAGGACAAGTTTAATTATTAAATTAATCCATTAATGACATGAATCTATTAAATTCATTGATAACATTCAATTGCGTTGTGTTTTACAAAATCTGCAAATATTGGCAACATAAAATGCAATTCATTTGAGTTTGCTCTTTTCAACTCTCCTTTCAACTAGTGAAGCCTTGCCTCCTCAATCAGAATTAAAGCCATTTAAAAAAAAACAATTATTGCATTGGATTTATAAAACATTTGTTTTTCAAAAGGAGAATACGGTAGCAATCACGTAGTCATCTTGTAACAAATGCTTGATTCTTGGGTTGGAAGCTTATCCAACAGTATTTTATAACTGAATGTATATGTTTTTTTTGCTCACTCCTGGGTTCAACTGTTTATCTGTGCGTTGTTTATCCTGTTTTACAAGTTAATTTTATGATCAATATTACTAGTTAACGAGCTCAGCAACAGAGATGAAAACTCAGATATTGCATTGTTGGTTTGTAATCTGAGAGGGCCATGAAAGCACACCTACTGCCTGTTCATTGTTTATTTGAAAATGAGAGACCATTAATCCTCAGCGGTGATACTTTTTCTTCTTTGAACTGCATAGCCTCTGTGGAATAGCAGTGCTTCCTTATTTCTGCCTCTTGGGTTACTCAATTTGGATCCCTTTTGCTAGGAGCTGAGTGCATCACAGTTCCGATTGCACAAGGCAATGTCAAGGAAGCTTACAGACAAAAGCTTTTTTCTGTCTCAGCCTTTTCTCTTGCTTCTCGCAAATTGTCAATTTGGCCTGAACTTTTTCAGATTTCACTCCATCCATCTGCTAAAGGCTAACATATTCTGGATCAAAAATACAAAAGTCCAAACACCTCTGTCCTCCATCCAAGAAAGAAAGAAAAACAAATGAGGTGTTTGACAATTATTTTTTGCTTTCTGGAGGACAGACAGAATTTTGCTGATCAGCCTATGTGGATAATGCCACCACAATTTACCACTGGTGATAATCCAACACTTACACAACCACAGCTGCTTTGCATTGTCCTCATAATATTAAACACAGCTGTACTAGAATTAATCACTTAACTAAAATACAGATTAACACAATTATTAAAGGATGAATCCAATTTGAATGAACCATTCAAAGTTATCTATTATCAAAGTGTATCCGTCTTAATTTTTCACAATAAAGTCACACTAATTTTTTAAATTTAATGTTCAGAAGTTATTTGCACAGCAAAACATTTAAGTCTGACACATGGGAGAACCTATCACCATGTTTAAGAGTATCTAAACCAGACTGAAAATTCCACATGTCTGCCACCTACACATGGAAATTTCCCTGTCGTTTTCATGGAAAACATGATGCTTTGACCCTAGTACACCAGACAATGCTCTCAACGGCAAACTATGGGATTTTGCTGGTTAAACAGCAGTAGTGCCCAACGCACACTTATCCAGCAGTATTTTAAATGATAGCACTCTGACATCCTGAACTCTTGCTGCTTTGCACCTAATATTCTCTAGAATTAGGTAAGTAGGATGTGGTCCTCCAGGAAGAGAGATATTGCAATCTAGACCCAAGGGAATTTCCATGTGTAGATGCCTTATACATGTGGAACTCTCAGTCTCTCAGTCAACCACCCAAAAAAAACTAAAAATATACCCGGCATATTTTCAAGCAGTTATTGCTTTAACTGTATATGGTTGGTCAATACGGGATCTGTCCTTATGTTCTTAGTTATATCTCATCAACATGCTTTGAAAAGTCACAATTTGAATTCCAGTATGTGATTCGTCCGACCCAAAAAATGCTAACAGTAATAATTTCATATTATATATAATGCTGCAGTTTATAATTCATTGATACTGTGCTTACGGTCACTCATCCTCCCCACCTACCCCTCCAGCTCGAAGTCAGGCTTCGCTCTGAGACGCTACCCTGCATGGAGGGCGCTATATAAGTCATGTCGTTGTTGTTGTTGACACTAGATAAGGCTCTGAACTGTTGCATGCACAGATTAAAGAAGTCAAGAGTATAAAAGAGTACAAGTGTCATACGACTCTGAAAAGAGAAAGTGCTGGATAAAGGTGGCGTTGGTGGGGAGTCATCTTGTGTTTTGCACATCATCAGCTTTTTAGTTTGATTATATTAACTATTAAATATAACTGGTCAGCTGCATTGAACAAAATCTTGACACAGGAGTGATGAAAAACAATATTTTATTGAAGAAATGTTCAGCAAATAACTTAATTGAAAAAATTCAGAAGGTTAGCCATAATCCTTTCACTTCATAATTCTTACATTTGATATAGTGCTTTTCAGTTTGGAAAGAAGTTTCAAGGAACTTCACAGGATTTACTGCAAAGTGTAGTAACTGTGTATTTTGTAGACAAATGCAGTTGATTTTACTGCTAATTGCTACAAAGGAACTTGATTTAAATAAAACTGGAAAAATTATAATTGGAATCTAATTTGATCCGAGCAGGATTACCATTGCATCATTACACCAGAAGTAAGGTAAATGTAACCAGTCGACTGATGCTCCGATTGCAGCTCACAAGAGTGAACAATCCAAAGTTCAGTGAATGCTGCTTCACAACATTAAAAAGAACTGACATCGAAGGATCAAAAAGCGACATCACGTGACCATCAGAGGCCAGATATCCCTGAGTTAACTTTACTGACAGATCAGTATTTGGCTAAATCACTTAACTTGACAGAGGGGGCTTGTTGATAGTTCCCCAATATAGTGAACAGGTTATTCAACTTTCTCAGCTATTTGAGCCATATGCACCATGGGGCAAACATGTAGTATCATTATACAACGTCTGTAAAAGGCATATTACAGTAACATTAATATTTCCAGAATACGTTTATAACCAGCTGCTCTGAATATGGGGCCAGAAATTACCCCTGGCTCTACACAGACGCTTTCAGAGTGTGCAAATTTTGAAAATATCTTAATTCAGCCTAAATTTGGGAGCCGATTTTCCATACTTCAAGATTCAATTTAAGAAGTTTCCAAAATGTGCCCACTCTGAAATGTTACGAAAATGGTCAAAGTCTACAACCAGATGCAATTTTAAGATACAGGATGGGGCAAGTTGCTTATCTAAATGGTGACATGATAGCAGATGTGTCTCTTCCTTTCTTTCAGAATGATTCTCCACCTGTTGAATTGTGATACCATAGTAGCACTTTTCCTGAATTTGTCTTCTGACCACTTAGTGTCTGCACTATATCCTCTTGCACAGAATTGTTTGAAATCAGTGTCCCTTTCTTCAGGACCTCATCTCCGAAAGAGGTGTGAAGATGGTGATAAATCATCTGTGAAGATACAAAGTAGAATTATGCTTTTTAAGATCATTATCTGTGGACCTGTGTTTTAATAGTAACAAGCAGTATTATATTTGAAACTGTTTTTTTCTAAATTTATGTATAAGAGAAATGTGAAAAGTTGAAATCATTCTTAAACTACAATTATCAAATTGAGGTTAACATTGAGTTAACCTACATTACAGGTGTAACTCTGTCAATATATTGAGCATGACAAGATTTCAGATCAATATTATAAATCAACTTACCAGAATTCTGACTTTGTTGTTTTGATTTCTTGTCCCTCAGAATATGGACCTTCCTTTGCAAGATCATGGTACATCATTTAAACCCTTCTGTATTCCTGGTAGATGGAATACTTTGTTGACCTTTATGGCTACTTCAGCACAAATATTCCAACGCCACAATGATATTTTGTGGAAACTTCTATAATATCCTCCTTTATGAATTCTTAAGCCAAGCTTTCAATGTTAATGGTGTGCAGCATGGTGGAGAGAGGGGAGGAGAGAGAAAGTCTGACTTAACATGGGGAGAAATGAAGAAACAATGTAGGTTGATGTACACCTGATGGTAAAAAAGGCGGACAACAGTGTTATGACTTTATTTATTGCTAAGCTGATTTTAAAAACCTGGATATTTGGCTGACAGTTTATGTACATTTAGACCTTCCCGAAGTTTTGCAGGACACCACTGTAGTACTTTTGTATTAATGTTCAGCAGGTGTGTTATTTCAGTGCTCTTACCTTTCAGTTGTGTTCTGCCATCTTCTATCATCGGGAGTACAATGGTAGAGTTGAGGTTTCCCTGTGACCTCATGGCAGTGTAGACCAAAGGAAGGGATTGTACAACCACTGGAATGCGATGCATATGACTCAGTTTGTTGGACTGAAAGTTCATTGGATTTGAAGATGGCACTGGGTGGATTATATGTAAATACTGCTGGCCCCCAACACCCGGTGTAGATGCCACAATGGAGCCTGGTCCTAATACTGTTGGCATTCCTGTTGCTGATGAACCCACTGAGGTTATCACAGTTGGAGATGAAGTCAATCGAGGAGAGGAAGAAGAGGTTGAGCAGATTGACGTTGTTGTCATGGAGCTGGGTGATGACTGTGATGATGAAACTGCTGTTGGTGATATCCTGGCTTTGTTAATGGACAAGTCCACTGGCTCAGTTTGTGTCTGATATTGATCAGTGGATAGCAAGTCCTCTGGAGGCTCTGCCTTCACATTGTTAAGCAAAACGGGAACAGCATCCATATCTGCATAATTAGTGGCTGGAGGAGACTGTTAAAGTAAAACAGAAATAAACATCATTTTAGTGTATGATATATTTTTAAAAGAAACGTAGCTGAAAGATCATGTAACCTGAGAAAGGTAAGAATAATATGCTATCACGATTGAATAATTATATATATAATTGTCACGTCTTATCTTGTCAAAACATCTAAAAGCATTTTACAATTATTGCTTTAAAGTTATGTTTTTGTTGGCAAAGGGTTTGTAAGGTTTTACCATACCCAAATGATATGGCATCTAAATGTTAAAAACTGAAAATAAATCCCTCCAAGAATATGGGTGGACCCACAGTGACTTTCAGAGCCAGAGGATGTTAACCCAAAGTGCCTCTTGCGACTGCCTATGTCTTATGGAGAAGAGTTGGAGGTTACGTAAAATGTACTTACCTCTGTACTAATTATATGTTAAATTTAGTCCATAGTTGTTGCAGAATTTAAGATTCTATGCATTCAGATCAGTTTTTAGCTATTGCTTTTGTTCAGAAGTTGCTTGCATCTGCTATTCTGGTAATAAATTAGTCTGCCTTTGAATCAACAATTTGTACTTGTATAGTGCCTTTAACATGGGAAAATGTCTCAAAGAACTTCACAAAAATAATAAGGATCGCTGAGAAGGAATACAAGAAAGGGGTGGTTGAGAATGTTGATGAAAAGTACATCAAAGACAGGTTTTTAAGAGGATTTAGAATGCTGTAGAAAAGTCACAAGGCAATCGTGAGAGAGCTCCAGAGAATATGGGGGCAAACGATATTACAATATGTAAGGAAACAATCTGTACTTGAACATATATTTACTTTAAACAAATTTCTCAAGGCTAACGGTCTGTGATCTAGCTTGATTAAAAAAAATCGAACTACTGCAGTGTAAGTTGTTACCTATCCCAGTTGCTAGAATTCATAAACAGAAAAAGCTTTACAATATTTCAAGCTTCCGAAATAGAGAAAGCATAAAGGAAAGATGTTTGGCTCTGCAATGTGTCTTTATTTAGATGGTGATAACTTTATGCTTGGGGTTATCCCATATACTTCCAATTAAATTGTGTTTATGCAATAGCTGAGCTCATAATTTATGACAAACTACAAAGAAAAACAATCTGCAGAACAGTGCCAGAAAATGTCCTCTTTTCAGGTATATGACATGAAAACAGCAGAACTTTCTAGGTAAAAATCATCTGATTCACATGATAATGCAATATTTAAACCACATTCTGGAGGAGCCATTGCACCACTCTGTTTACAAGAAACAACAAATTCTGAATCAATTTAACAACATTTTTGTTCACATTCCATGATTGTTGTGTTTAAAACACGATCAGTGACAATCTCGTTGTTTTTCTGGCTTCATGTCCTACTTGGCCAGAAGGCACAAGAGTTAACAACTACACAGTTGATGTTGCATATCATTCTTGGCCATTTGCTTACAAATACACAGTCACTACACTTTACAGTAAATCCTGTGAAGCACTAACATGTTTTCAAAGATGCGATAAGTATTATATTAATTGCAAGAAATATTATTAATTATTGTTCATTTAACCGCTAACAGTGAACCTTAGTAATTCTTTCACTCTCATTGTTTAAATCAAAGAACCCCACATAAATGGATGAAACAAAAAGGTTGTTAACTTGGCATCAAATCTCTCTTCCTGTTTTAGTGGCTTATATAAAGAAAATGCATAGTTCTGGAGAAAATATTGAACTAATGGCTGGAGTAATAATAATATTAATGTGATAATATTCTTTGTAGACAAAGCAAGCCTAATAGTGAACAGATTTGCCACAATTATTCAATCACACAGAAATTAACCAGATTTTAACTCTCTTGCCTGGGTATTTCTTCAATACTTGTTTCCATTTATATTTCATACTTATTTCTCCCCGTCTTTCTCTGTGCACATGTCTCTCATTCCTTTATTAGCACTCAGTTTTTCGGTTCTGTTTTATCATTATTTCTACACATTGGACCATTCTGCTGGCCAAGAGTCAGCCTCATTCCAACTCTCAGCTGTTCCCATGAGTCCTTTGCAAACCTTGCTCTCATTCTTTTTTTCTAAGTGAAAGTCGCACTTAAAATGTCCAAGACCAACGTTGCCCATAATTCTAAGTAAAAAAGAAAGTACTTTCATAATCATCATGTTTATTGAGAAGCTTCACCCTTGTTAATAAACACGGTAACAACTGTTTGTGCAGAGGGTAATCAACAACTGGAACAAGTTGCCAAGGAAAGATGGTAGAGAGTAGGACACTATACTCATTTAAAAAAGCAGCTTGATGAAATGATGTGATGGGTGGGGAGTGGGGGGGAAATAGTTGTTTGGGAGTTCTAGAGGATGAGATTGGATGGGCTAAAGGGCCTTCTTCATCCAGACTAATCTTGTGATCTTGATCTTGTTAACTAGTGGAGAGTGTGTGGGTGAAACAGATCATGGGATCGTGATAGCAAGGCTGAAATCTAACACATTACACCAGGTGATATATAATTTCTGCAGTTCTAAACTCAGCATGTTGTCTAGTCTTGCCAAGCAAGCAAAATTTAAAAAAAACATTAGAAAATGAGAATGTTCTCCATAATCCAGGAAATTTCAGAAAGCTGCCCACCCACCCTGATCCCCTTGGCATCAATCCATTGGCAAGTATTGAAGGAACATTAAAACTGCTGTACAATCTTGTGAGTGATTGTATGATTTTAGAAGTTCAAAAAGCAGTGAAAATGTACCACTCTTGAAATATTTCAAAGCAGTTACTTTCAGCAAAATCAATTGCTTGTGTGACCATTTAGGGATTGGAAATACAATCCATAGTTTGTAAATGTATTTAAACCACCTACCAATTGCTCCAAGATCTCCCTCAGACCCATACCAAGTACTTTCCGTTTCCATTATACAAGCCTACATCAGAAGCACATTTGGCAGGCTCAACATATATGCCATGTAAAGGGTAACCAGGCTGAAGCAATACCAGAGGCATATCATGCTCAAAATTACAGTTTAATTGTTCACACATTTCATTATCCTCTAACTATACTGTTAGATCAGTATTGGCTATTGGCTCATGTCAAGATACAGTACAAATAGAACTCCCATCAAATTGTCCTCTGCTTCCCCCACAGACCACACTAAACACACCCTTGGCCCCTGCCCCACCCATTCCAATCATTGGGGTGAAGCCCAAACAGACACACCCTGAATGACAAAGGCAATCAAGCAAACACTGTACAACCTTCAGCTATCCACACATTTCTACCACTCATTCCCTCTGTAGACATTAATTCCATTGCTCTCTGGCCTTTGTGCTTGATGCAGTATTTGTTCATGCTGTCTGTATCTTTAGGTATTTCAGCAATGATGTTTTTAGAATGTAAAGAAGCATGGAATAAAGAAATGTTATTCATGCCATCAATCAACTCCTCCAGGTTTATGTGAAGCTACCTATATGACTTCATCACATATGACTAACTTGGAAGAACAAGAGGGATATGGACATATGAAAGTGAAATATTCAATTCTCTAAAGAGAAAAATAACAAGCAATACTGTAATATCTTATTTTATCCTCATTTCAGCACAAATACTTTCCAACCTCCTGAATATGAATACTGGTGTGGCAGCCTGACTCAGTGCTGGCACTCTCGCCTTTGGGTCAGAAGCTCAAGCCCCACATTGGATCATGAATTCACGTAGTCCAAGATGACACTCCTATGCAATGCTGGGGGGGGATGTTGCATTTTTGGAAGCCCTGTCCTTCAGATGAGTTGTAAAACTAAGGTCTTATCTGGCTGTTCAGGTGGGCATTAAAGATCCTATGGCACTATTTGAAAAAAGGAGTTTCCTGGCCAATAATCCTCCAAATAAAATTGGTCATTTATTTCATGGTTGTTTGTGAAACATTGGTGTGCCAATTGGCTGACACGTTTGCCCACTGTCACTTCACAATAAATCCTATGAAGCACTTTGGGACATTCTCTCGATATGAAAGGCACTATACCAAATGCAACGATGATTATTATTGTCATTATATCACACCTGATATCTTATTTACATTCAAGTGTCAACATATGACAAACTATGGGTCAGTTACTCTTATGTAGACAGCTTGGCTACAGAGTAGGCTCCCTTGTTAATGCCTGACAGTTCAGCCGGCAAAAATCGTTCCCATTTCTATTGGTCTATCAGTATAAGTAAAACGAATCATAGTATTTCATCTTGTCTAATCACATTACATAAACTGGACCTGCTTCCTGTTTCAGATTAATTCCCAGTTACACTAACAGCCCTTTAATATTGTAAATTGCTATAATTTCTATGAAATTATAAATATTTCACTCTGGAGTGATTCCCATTGCAGCAACACATCTCAGGTTTGAAATAATCCTGGCACACTGTTTGAAACTGAGTCATGTGTTATTGCCTCAGAACATACCCAGACTCTTTTATTCCATGTTTACCTCATTTTATCCCCAGGCCTTAAAACTGTTGTGAACCACACCCAAGCTTGCAAACCCTATGAGTCGACAGGATCTTTAATATTCACACAACCAAGAAGCAGCACTTACACTGTCAACTTTGACTATGGAACTTTAGTTCCATTTAATTTTCCATTGTTACTAAAAAAAATTCTATCAAATTCTATGTGACTCAGACTTCAACTTAATGAATACACCAAGGATGTGCCACAAAATGCAATAATTCTCTCACTATCTAACAGTGCCACAGCTATTGTTCTGCTGCATGTTATGATCCTCAAATATGCTATAATAACAAAAGTACATAAATGCATTCTTTACTTCATACAGAAAATCTCAGCAAAACAAACTGTATATGCAAGCAGAAGCATATGCTGATCTGCAACTTAATACCATTTCCTTCCCCCTTTCATTATATCCCTCGATACCCCTGCCTACTAAATAGTAATCTACATTTCTCTTAAATATTTCAATTGATTAAAAATAAGTTATATTATTACTTGCAGTAATATCATGGGGTTTTGATAAT